TTTTCATGTGAGTCATACACTGGAGTAACTTCATCGTTCACGTGCATTGATATCGTCGATGATCACCTTCTGCACAAAATACATGTGTCATTAATTTTTCCTTTAAAGTATGGCCCAGCAGACATGGGACCGGTTCAGTTTCGAACCGAACCGAACCAAACTGATCGAAATCTGGGTGGTATGAACTTTTGAAAAACTCAGTCGGTTCGGTTAAGGGCTAAATCAAATCTTAAAACTGACTGGAATTTGAACTGAAACAGAAATCAGTCGAAATTAATTATTGCAGAATTACTCATTTTGTACATATTTACAAAAATTGATAGTTCAGTTCCAATCATTGCACGAGGAATTCCGACAAATTCCAATTCCAATCCCAAGTTCAATTAATTCCAGTTGCAATTGTAATCAATTCTGACTAATTTCAAGCCAAAAATTGAATTAAAATTATTTGCAGTTAAAGCTGGAATTGAAGCATTCTTAGTTTACTTAAAAAAGAACGCGAACCAATTTCATTTAAAATTGATACTCTAGTGTAAGGTTTCCTAAAAGCCATGAACGACGTATAACATGCATATAATTTCGCTATTGATCACAGTTAACCAAAAGCTATTTCTTATTCAAAAGAGAACTAGTAAGTTTTTACTTTTATAGAACAAGTTCATCAACACTGCAGAAAAGACAGCACTTTTGGCTATTAGATAAAAACTAGACCTTTTCCGTTTTTGAAAAGAATATCGTCGTTTTTCATCAATATTTACTCAAAATTTTCCCATTCTTATGGACTTTAGAGGCAGAGTTGCCGATTAGGAGTCTTTCGCCTGCCAAAAACTGAAAAGGTGTCAACTTTTTGCCAAAATTTTAATACCTTCTGCGAAATTTTTCATAGTCGCGTGACGAATTTTGATAGAAAACTGGTTTTTAACCGTAGCTTCTCAAAAGAGATACTTTTTCACTAACAATTCAGCTATTTAAGTATTTGTATAGCTATTTAAGATTTCCACAACCGATCACTAATGATGCCAAATTGTGGCTTTGACAACTTTCTGGATCATAATAAGTCATTGAAGTTCAACACTAGGTCCTGGTCGATCAACAATATTTATATTTACACAGAATGGTAGGGTGGGTAGCCGTGAGCATGGGTGTGGAGTACGGCTGTAGCATTGATTAATCGTCCACGAACTCAAACAAACACTAATCCGACGCCCAAACCGTTTTCATCCTTCATTTCGCACTCCCCCCCCCCCCCCCCTGCTCGAAAAGATAAGTATTGTTGAATAAGTCGCTCATTGTCAGTTAAACCGCAATACGAATATATAGACATTCACTGCCAATCACCAAATAATGTTTCGACTTAAAAAACTATTCTTGCTGATGTTTACGAGTATCCAATATTAAATATGCACGATAGAAATATTTCAATGACAATAGAACGTTTAAATAGCTACGTAGCCCAAAAATACTCCCGCAACTGTTTGAATAGCTATGTAAAATTTAAATACTTACGTCACTACTTCAATAACTATTTAAATACTTAAAAAGCCATAGAAAACTTAAATACCTATGCAAATCTTAAATAGCTATACAAGTAGTTAAATAGCTATAGAAAACTTAAATAGTTGTACAAATAGTTAAATAGCTATAGAAATACTTAAATAGCTATGGAAATACTTAAATAGCTATGAAAAACTTAAATAGCTATGCAAATTTTAAATAGCTATAGATACTTTAAGTAACCGTAACGTTTCAAAGTCATTGGTACTAAACAAAAATTGTATCTCTTTTGAGAGTGAGCCTTTTTAACCCTGTCTTTCTTATGACTAATCTAATACGTCCTACAACATATTGCATCTATCTGAATGCAAAGAAAGTTATTGTAACTAAAGTTATATTTAGCTTGTTGATTCGGAATATACAACACATAGGCCTTAATTTGATATGGAATTAATTAATATAAGACTTATAGTTTAAGAGAAAAAAGCATTTAAAGAACGGCACCGATAGGTACCATTCGAAAAGAAAGGATTAAGCGCTCTTCGACTTTTTTTTTCTAGCAAAAAGTCAAATAGCAACATTTTCTGCCCATAATAACTCCCAGAAGGTGTACAATTTTGGCATTTTTGTGTAGTGTCTACCAGAAAGGCATATGAGAACAGTTTCTGCCAAAATTTATAAGCTTTCTACCAAATTTTTCCTCCCTCCCACTCTTAAAAACAATTGGCAATTGGCAACTTTGTTCAGACCATTCGGATCTTTCATGATTGCTTTGCAAACACTTGTTTAACATGTTTCAAAAAGAACAATTTGTTAGTGTCTTCTTTCAAAGGAGGCCATTCAGAGTTCTTCGAAAATTTTAATAGCCGTGGAAGCGAATATGTTACATGATTTTGTAGCTTATTTGCCACTCATATTGATTTTTTGCTTTCTTTTCTTAAGAATATATCAGAGCAAGTGTTTATAAAGTCATAGAAAAAGATTTGAATGATCTGAAGCTCACAACAATGAGAAAAACTCCAGTAAAGATCGATAAAAAAGGCACATCTTCTTTCCTATACTGCAAAAGGCCTAGTTTTTATGTTATAGTTAAAAGTGCTACATTTTCTATAGTGTTGATGAACTTGGTCTTGGGTGTGGGTGTGGTGGGTGTGGGTGGGTGTGAGTGTGGTGGGTGTGGTGGGTGTGGGTGTGTGTGGGTGTGGGTGTAGGTGTGGGGTGTAGGTGGATGTGGGTGTGGGGTGTAGGTGTGGGCGTGGGTGTGGGAGTGGGTGTGGGTGTAGGTGTTGGTGTGGGTGTTGGTGTGGCTGTGGGTGTGTTAGAGAATAAACGATTCACACCCCACACCCACACCCACACCCTCACCCCACACCCTCATCCACCCACACCCACACCCTCACCCTCACCCCACACCCTCATCCACCCACACCCACACCCTCACCCCACACCCACACCCACACCCTCACCCTCATCCCACACCCACACCCACACCCTCACCCTCACCCCACACCCACACCCACACCCTTCATCGTCGTACAAATATGTTTCAATGCCTTGAAGATCCTTATCATGAATTAGAAGGTCAGCGAGATTGGAATTATTGTGTACCTGAAGTATGTTCGAGGATTTTAAAATTCATATTAAAACATGTTTTGCTTTTTTCCTAAAGTTTGGTGGTATAGATGTCACAGTTGACTTGGGAATTTAGTTGAGATTGGAATGCGCGAAAAAAAAATAGAGAAAAAATAGAGAAACGAAAATTAAACATAAACATAGATTTGAAAATAGAAAAAAAAGAGAAAAAAATAAAAATAAAATCGTTAAAATAGAAAAAAAAATAAAAATAAAAAAAATTCGTTTTCTTCATCAATAACTCTATTTGATTCAAATTCAATATTGTTAGAATATTATAAATAGACTTTTATAAAAGCATTATTATGTTCATTCTGTTTTCTTTTTAGCAAAGAATATTTTCATTTTTGTTGTATTTGTAAGATTATACTTAGATGATATTTTATAAATAGTGTATTTGATTGATATTAATAAATGAGCAATTCATAAAAGCTTATATTAAAAAAAATTTTTATATATGAAATCTATGTGTCACCATCGTTTCTATATTTTATATTTTCTTAATAGAGGTTCGTTCCTAGGAAACGAAGATTCAATGATATTGCTATGATAACTTTTTTAATTAAGTTATTTCATTTGTTGTTTCATATTTAACTTATCAAATTCAAATTTTTTGAAGATATTTATTTCGAAATTAAACTCACACATCAACAATCTTGATAAAAAAAAGAGAAAAATATACGATTAACAATGACATGTATTACAAAATAATGAAAGTTTTAAAATCTGAAGATACAGATGTATCCCCAAAATTTAAATTCTGGGTTTATCATACATTTCGTTTAATGCAAATCGGATCAGCCGATTTAATATATAATAAAAAATCTAATTTGCCATTGATAACACAAGAAAATATGTATGAGAAAATTAATGATTGCCACACGAGCGTCAGCCATTAATAAACCATCTTTTATATCTACAAATTCGATTCTTCTAAATTTATTTTGCGATACTACATATTCACTGCTCTCGAAAAAAACAATCCACCCGCTCATTATCCAATAACACCCTTTTCAGAATAATAGAAATAAAACAAAAATTTCATATACCACGCATCAAAAAATCTATCTGTTTTCAAAGAAAAAGAAATTATCTTTTCTTTTTTTTTATTCAATACAAAATTTAATGTCCCGCATGTTCCGCTTAGAAAAAAAAAGTCTATCTATCTAACAAAAAAATAAATTCTATTTTTTTCTCTAATACAAATATCAATGTCCCGCATGTCCCGCCAAGAAAAAAAAATCTATCTATCATATAAAAAAAAAAATAACTTTATATCTTCATCTAATACAAATTTTAATGTCCCGCATGCCCCGGTCATCAAAAAAATCTACCCATCTTATTAAAAAACATAAATTTTAAATTTTTATCCAATACAAATTTCAATGTCCCACATGTCCCGTTCATCAAAAAAATAACTATATAAGCAAACAAATATAAATAACCAACATATTAATTTTTCCTTTTATTCAATATAAACTTCTATTTAAGTTAATAGTAAATTTTAAATCATTCATATTTTTTATTTGTCTTTCATAAAAAAAATACAACATCTGTTTTATTTAACATAATTACTTATACATTTACCAATTCTATTTTTTCTCTATAAAATAAAACCATAGATATAGATATTATTTTTATATTTCTATCAATTCCAATCTCAACTATATTTCCTAACCAACTGCGACAGATATAGTCCTTTTGTAAGTGTCTTTCGTGGTTCGAAGTCTAACGGATATCCATTTTTCTTGAATGATCCAGTATATATTTCTTTCATCGCTTGTGCTGCTTATTCGCACCCAGCAACAGAAAAAGATGAAAATGGAGAATTGAAATTAAGTGATAAACATCGAATAGAAAATACAAAAAAGAAAATGGAAGCTATTTTCAAAATTGCACTGGACAATCAACATGATGTTTCAATACTATCAGCTTTTGGATGGTAAGTATTAAAATAATATTCAAGGAATGAAATTTACTATTTATAATATAAACAAAATCGATTAGTTAAAATTCTTGAGCCAGCTGATAAAAAAAAAATTGATGATGGACTGTTTCATTGGGTATATCATTTACGAAACTGTTTCTTTTGTCAAAGAGTTAATATATGTAGATGCATAAAAATACTTTTCGAATTTAATTTTATTAATATCTAAATTTTTAGAAAAGCTGTGTGCGACTTACAGTCGAAAAAAATTTCATATAGAAATAAATCTTTTTTTCGATTTTTATCTAATCTTGACTTTTTGAGTCAACAGGTAACTTCTCTTGAGAATCATTATTGCATTCATTCGTGTTGAAAACTATTCTTTATATGTCATGATACATTAATTAAGAAATGAAATTTTAAGCTTGAATCGAAGTTTTAAATTTTGTTTTTTTCTAATAACAAAATCATGAAAAACGATTCAAAAGTGATATATTCTTCATACATCTGTATAAATCATTCGAAAATATTTTTCAGCATTGGGGACTTCATGCTGAACAATATTATCTCGTAAGCAATTCAATAATTGACAGTGCACTACGTTGGCTATGCTACCACTTTGTGCAGTCAGTCGACTTAACAAACGGATGAAAATCAGCAGTTTCGAGTTCGAAGGTGAATTCGGCTAGCTTCATAGAGAAAGAACTTAAACTCCAAACAAATCAGTCTCCCCAAAATCTCAATCTGTCCAATTCCTGCTACTAGTCTGAATATGATCAGCGATATCACAAATAATTACAAGTCTATTGATATTTTAAACTATTTCAAATCTAGTACTACACATCATTTACTAGGAATAATAACTGTAGTACTTTTATCATAACATTCAGGTATTGAGAAATAATAGTAATTATGAAAACTCTAATTGGTTTTTGTAATCACTTTGAATCAATTCATTCTAATTTACTTATTATAGACTTTTGACAATTTCTGATAAAAATAAATTGTGTTTTTCATTTAGTGGTGCATTCCAAAATCCGCCTAAACATATTGGTAAAGTTTTGTGATATTTGGATACATTATTTATTAATATTTTTCTTTCTATTATAGCGCAGCTATTTCATGAAGTGATTAAAACAAAATATAAAAAATCATTTAAATATATAGTTTTTGCTATTATTGATGATCACAATGCTAAGAAAAACCATAATCCAACTGGTAATGTTCAACCATTTGCTGAAATATTTCAAGTGAATATTCTGTCCATCGATGAACTTCGAGAACAACTTCGAAATACAGAATTTTGAATAAAATGCCATTTCAAAATGTGAAAGACATTAGTGAAGATTGAGTTGGGGTGCATATATGTATATTTGAGTCTTTTCTTATCCATAGGCACGCACATACCCATACCTACATTTGCAGACTGTTGAAAATTCATCTACTCGCTATTTGATATTTTTGAGGTTTTTTTTTTCTGAGACAATTTTTCTCAAGTTCCTCTCTTAATTTCTATTTATTCAGGATTATTTTTGTAATCAACAGTTCTTCTATATAAGCATACATATTAATATGCACATATTACAATGTCTTCAGTATTTGTTGAACTCTTCGTAAATCAAATCTTGATTATATTGTTACATGAAAATCATTTAAAATTGGTTCACATAATGATGATATCATATTTGCTTCGTTGATTGATACAAAAACAAAAATATTACAAGTAAAACATAGAGAAAAACAAAATATTTTCTTTTACGAAAAAAAGAAACTTTTCTTTAAATAGGAAACAAACTGAATGGAAATCAGTTAATAATAAATATGATGTTGAAGGAATTTAAAATGATGTTAATGAATAGATACTTAATTTATGATGCAACTATAAGAGGTTTTTTGCGTGCAGTCATCGTTAAACAACACTTTATTTTTATTATATTTTTATTCATTAAAATTGAATGCATCAAAGAAAACAAACAAGTGTGTAATACGCCATATTTTTTTCCTGATTAATGAAATGTGTGTTTTTAGTTATTTAGAGAACGGTTATTTCACAAAAAAAGGAAATGGTCTATTTAAATGAGGAGGCTTTTTTGAGATAGATTTTTTTCTTTATGGTGAAAACTGGGAAAATGTAAACACAATTCGCCTGACATCTTTAGATGAACGTGCATTTCAGATATAGAAGAGCTTTATGAAACAGTTACTTTTCCTTCTGAATGTGTAAGTGAATCAGATTCTATTCTTACTAAGGTTCCAATAACATATTCTTAATGGTAAACAGAATATTGCACCGATGAACGTAATATTTACACATCGAAAAACTAAGCAGTCTATTATACTTCAACTTTCGGAGAATGTTAATGATGGAGAAAAGCATTCGATCTTAAGTAAAGTTGAAACACCAAAATTACATATAAAAGAATTATCGACTAAAACAGAACATGAAAAATTATATTCAAGTACCAATCGAGTTTTTGATGGCAATAAATTACTGAATTCGCATGATTAAAAAAAAATAATATGACAAAATCACAAGAATCTTGTTCTACACCCACACCCTTCTATTGGTACAATCATCTCTTTTGTTTTTACAGTGATTGTACTCTTGGAGTATCTGCCTTTTTAGCATAACTTGATCTAGGTGCGACACGTTTTAGTTAAAATATATTCAATGTTCAACAGATGGAGATGAATAATGTTTCAAGCGTCTAATCCTTTAAAAACAAAATACTTCATTCGAATATAGATGAAATAAAATGATGTGCAGTATTCATGATTAGATATGTACTAGATATCGGTTAGTTAAATGATAAAAATTTTCGTGAAACAGTTTAAATAACATGATGAATTTCTAATTGATTTTGTAGGTAGTAAACCAATACTTTAATTCATCTGTATTTGGAAATTGATGTTCTATTGGTCGAGTTTTTTCTTCAAGCATACCTACACCTGTGCCTGGTCTTCCTTTTGGTACGGCATCACACCAAGCATGCCCTGCTTGTTTAAACTTCCCTTTGATATGAATTTCGTAGCCAATGTGCTTCTTTTGATCACTTCCAGGTGGAGGGGTATCAGCATCGATTGTGAACCGAACTTTCCATTCGTGTCCTGCTCGAAATAATTGAGTACCTTTATTAATTGTTCCCTCGAATTCTACATCAATTTGCACCGTTCCATCTTTAATCTTTTCATAAAACGTATGAAAAGGAGAGCCTTCTTTTTGTAATTGATCAATGATGTATCTCTGAGCTGCTGCTGTCATTACTGCATCGCCGGATTGTTTTATGTACTCTACCATTTTTTTGACTGCAAAATCATTAGCTGACTTCAAATCGGGAGCTTGCCAATCATAACCTCCGCTAGACATCTTAGTTCTATCTAAAACGATAAAAACAGCAATAATATACAGAGAAAAAATTATATTCTATGTATTAGTCCTTTAAATTTAGGCTAAAAACAATTTATAAGTGTTAAGAATCAAAGATTAGAAGCCATCCTCTCATACGTACATGAACGATTCAAAATGCGAGTAGATGTATTTTACTCAACATGAATAAATTACCCATTATATATACTATAAGGAGACAACTCATCATACTTTCCAAGCAGATAGAAAGTTAAAAGTATTTTTCCCTATGCCCATACTATTTTATATATACACTTATATTCCTCTGTTTTTTTTTCGTTCTTATTCATGTCATGAGATATCTCTCTTTATTTTTTACTGTTCTGTGGGTTTTTTCACCACATGTTTTAATGATTCATTCTATACACAGCACAATACGCTTGCTATTCAGGGTTTTGTCAAATTTTTCAGCATAGATGTGAAGATAAATGGTGTGGTATTTTAATGTGGGTGTGGGTAAACAAATAAAAACCGACATCCACACCCTCGCTCAGAAGCTGTTCTATTGTGTTCAAAAACAGTTCCAGGCACAAATAAACTTTCATTTAGTGTAACTAGGAAGGTCATTTTAATTTTTGAGTAATGTTAATTATACTCTTCCTTATATAATTGTTATAATTAAAATTTAAAACCAATTCAAGTAACTTTATTAAATTTATTTCACATAAGGTGCACCAAATGCAAAAGTGTAGCATGAAAAAAACGTTTTTTTTGTTTTATACATCGTTAGATAGAGCTCGTCGAGCTGAATCTGAATATGTATGATTTTTTGTATTTTGAGCATGTCTTCGGGGAAAAAACGTCAAAATACTGGAAAATCTGAAAAAACCGATCAATACCCAAGCAGACAAACATTTTCAAAAACGCGTTTAAACGCATAAAAAAGGGCTTAAAATCCATAAAAAGTGGACATGTTTGGCTCACAAGCGCGGTTCCCGACTGTCAGCGAAAAACGACCAATTTTTGCCCTTTTTATGCGTTTAAACGCGTTTTCAGCAAAAACACGCTTGTAAACTCGTATAAACGCATAAAGAGAACATAAAAAGTAGTTATCTTTTTCCTTTTCGTGCACTGTGATTGTAATTCTGATTGTGATTTATGAGTATAAAAAAGATGACAACTTTTTATGATCGTCTCATACGTTTACACGCGTTTATCACCGTTTTTTTGCTGAAAACACGTTTAAACGCATAAAAAGGGCAAAAGTAGTCGTTTTCCGTTGACAGTCGGGAACCGCGATTGTGAGCCAAACAGGTCCACTTTTTATGAATTTTAAGCCCTTTTTTGTGCGTTTAAACGGGTTTTTGAAAATGTTTGTCTGCTTGGATAGGTACCATTCGGAAAAATAAGATTTTTTCCCTCATATCTTCGTTATTTCTTTCCGAAACTTATCGATTTAGATTCAGAATTTCAAGTTGAATCAAATGGTATAATTTTTGTTTCGATCGAACAAAGTGTTTTAGAGTAATTGTTTACGAAATGATGCAGAGTGAGAAAAAAATAACCTGGCGACATCTTCATCTTGCAAACCTATGTAGTCTTTCATTTTAGAATATTTTTTAAATATTTATACATCAATCGATTCATCATGTAACAGTGAAAAAAGTTACGTATGCTTTTTGAGAAATTTTGTTTCATCGCTGAGAAAAGGCACCAACATTAATTGACTATTTTGTGAGGAAAAAAGCGATTGCCATCGGTCATTAACTTTTTTCTCGTAATTGAATATTTTCGACAAATATTGATAAAAAATCGTTGTATACTTAATAGGATTGATATTTCAAGCCTTCTAATGTGTCTAGAGTCTCTTTTTCTACTCTCAGTGGAAGTCAATACGCTACATAACCATATACTGCGTTCGTATATTCTGCTTACCAAACGCACGATTACACGTGCTCATACGTTTTTTATTGCTCATTTTTTTTAACGTTTTTAGTAATTTTCTTTTATTAATCATGCCTCCTAAATCGAAAAGACGAAGCAAGCTTAGGTTGCTTTATTGCGCCGTTATAAACGTAAAAAAGAACAATTTTCATATGATGAAGAGCATTATGAGCCAGAATCAATGGCTACAGAAGAAGATGAGAAAGGTGATGATTTCATTCTTTCAGATGAAGGGTGTGGGTGTGGGTGTGGGGTGTGGGTGTGGGTGTGGATGTGGGTGTGGGTGTGGGTGTGGATAAAGAGAACAACCACACCCACACCCACCCACCCACACCCACATACCCAGCCACATCCCTCACCCACACCCCATCCACACCCCCACTCCCACACCCCATCCACACCCCACACCCACACCCCATCCACACCCCACACCCACACCCCTCACCCACACCCACCCACACCCCGCACCCACACCAAAACCCACACCCACACCCTTAGAGCAAAATAGACTTTAATTTGACAATCGGTGTCAAAAAAAAAACGCATGTACTCTCTGGTATTAATTTTTATCGGTTCACTCCTGTCTTTTTTTCATTATTCAAATAATATGGAAACGATATTGTTTCTAGCCAGACTATAATGTGGTCAAAGAGAAAAAATCAAATTTCACGATGTTATTCAAAGGTACTAGAGGCCCCTGTGAAGGGTTGAACTCAAGGAGGAAAAGCGGGACTCCTGGAGTGCGTACTCCCACTGTACTATCCTGTTCTTCCACTGTACCCCCTGTACCTCCTCTGTGCTCCCCTGTACTTCCTTGTACCTTCACTGTGCCCCCTGTACCTCCGCTGTACTATCCTGTACCTTCACTGTGCTCCCCTGTACTTCTACTGTACTCCCCTGTACCTTCACTGTGCTCCTATGTACTTCCACTGTACTCCCCTGTACTTCCACTGCGCTCCCCTGTACTTCCACTGTACCCTCCTGTACATTCACTGTGCTTCCCTGTCCTTCACTGTGCTTCCACTGTACTCCCGTGTACTATCCTGCATCTTCACTGTGCCACAATGTACCTCCACTGCGCTTCCCTGTACCTTCACTGTGCTCCCCTGTACTTTCACTGTACTCCCCTGTACCTTCACTGTGCTCCCATGTACCTCCACTGTACTCCCCTGTACTATCCTGTACCTCCACTGTTCTCCCTGTACTTCCACTGTATATCCACTGTACTCCCATTGTATTGCGGAAGTACGGGAGTCTCGCCTTTTTCCCCTTGGTTGAACTTTAATATTATCGGAAAAAATTAATATTATTGGAGAAATTGATTTAATTTACATAAGAAGTTCCTGAATGAAAAATATAATATAGATGACTGACATATATATGCATAATGAATGGACATATACGACGTATATCTATATCTATATATAATGAATGAGCATATACGACGTACATATATATGTATATTCTTTTTTTCGTTCTCTGACCATTCATATGAAAGTTCCCGAAGAACTGAAAAACACTTGTACATTATAATATAGATTTTATCAGTGATTCTTCTGGAACCGCTGTGGATAGTAAAGAATTAAAAAAAATTAACTTTTTACATAAAAAACTCGTATTTTCAATAAATTTTTTTAAATTTCTATTCAAAACTTGTTGTTTCGAAACAAGTTTTTCAAAACAGACTAAAAAGCTACCTTTCGAGCGTCACATCAAATCATACATACGGAGAGAAAACACGACGACACAAATTGATACGGAGTTATGAGTTGGCAACAAATTTTAAGAACACTATACCTTGATAGAGATATAACACATATTGGAATTATCATAAGTCTTAGATATAAAAGCTGTTAGCGCTATCTCTCTATATGATTAAAATATGTAACACAAGATCGTTGTTGTTGTTGTTAACGCGAGAAAATGCTATTTTATGATACAGTTTTTCATCATCGTTTTACTTAATCCTTCAGAAATGCAATAACGAAGTAGTTCGTTTATTATAACAAGACTTTATTGATAAATGATCATACACGATGTATCAACAATGATTGCCATGCTCTGTAAAAAATCTAAAAGTGCCTGTAAGATTTTGACCACAGAATAGGATATACGTAGACTTGTAGAGGAAGAGTTGACGCGCCAATAGATGGTGTCATCTATGACACATTCTAGATTAGGCCACAGTAAAGGTAGCTTCTCATATGTATATATCAACGGTACCAAATAAAACTTGATAATACATATACCACTTTATAGAGGAAGTCTTATTCTATAAGTCCACATATATTCCACTTGTGAAATCAAAATGACTGTAACACTGATAGTCGTCTTTCTACTTCTATATTTTAACAGTTCTATTACATTATGTGTTACACACATTAAAAGAGAAAAAGTATGCAGTTGACTCGAACTGACATGATTAAGTCGGAAATCAAAAGAAAAAAACCTGATTGTGTGAATTCTGAACAACTTCGTAGTTTTTTGAACAATAACAGTGACGGAAGTTTAAGAGTAGAAATCGAATGAAAACTTGTTTTGAATATTGAGTAATTATACTATTCGATTTAGAATTTTTTGAATACGATGTTTTTGTTTTTGATTGGAAACTGAAGTATAGATGATGAAGAACTTCTAATATAAACTTATATTTACAGTGTTTTGATATTATATCGAAAAGTTGATTTCATCAATAATGAAACAATAGTTTTTTAAAAAAGAAGAAATCTTGTTAGCTGATACTTGTCGTCAGTAAACATTCTTGATCTAAGTATTCGTACGTCAATATAATATCAAATAAGATATCGACTTTGACACATTGTTTTTGCGTTCATATACTTAAAACAAGAATATATACCAAATCGGTAGAATTACTAAATCTAAATCTTGGCTCTGAAAACGAGAAATAATAAATCTAGATTGATTAAATAGAAAGTTCAATGATTAAATAAGGTATTCAAAACGACGAATAAAATATGAAAACAAAAATAGAACCTTAGAAAGAGAAAATTTTTGAATCTGATTAACAAATCACTACAGCAACTAATTGTAACAGAATATAAAACCATCTCTTTCATTGAAAAAACTACCTTGTAATGATTCACTAATGAAAGAGTATAGCTTGTACTATTCATTTAAGTTGATGTTGAAGTGGATGTTTGTTGAGTCTGCTTTTCCAATTCCTGTTTAACAATAGCCTGTTGAATATTCATTGGAAATCCTGGATTAAGACCCAATACAAATGGCAATAAATTTTTCGGTAAATCACCAAAATCGACCATAATTTTAATGAACATTGTGTCATCTCGAATATAAGCATTTCCATCGGTTTGAATTACAGACAATGGACAAAACTTCGGAATACCACTTGCAATATTCATTTCAGATCGTGGACGTTGAAAACTATTCGATTTCGTATCCGGTCGAAATGAGTCAATTATATGTCGTTGCTTCGGGGTTTGATCGAACAAACAAAATGTCATTTTATAATTGAACGGAAACTTGAGTATAGCATCATATTCACCTCGCATGAGAACAAAAAAAAGTGACATATGTGTACGACGAGCATTTCCATCACCATTAAAATATAAACGAACTCGCATTTTATAGCCGGTATGTGATGAATAAAATGGAGGCGAATAAACTGATGTTTGCCGTTCTGATTGTGCATCAGCTAAAATAGACACATAGTTATTAATGAATATTAATGTTTTAAATAAAAATCGCACCCATGTTGCTACTAACGTTTGTTATTTTCCACAATAATGTACCGTCATACGAAATAAATTGCATATCATCAAATTTTTGTTTTAATGATGTAACTTCTTGATAAAGAATTTCTTGATTAGGTTTTATTCCATCTAAATAAGTAGTTGTCTCTTGAATACTTAATTTCAATGTTGAAAAATCCCTAGTCAATGTTTCGATTTTATTATTGAAAACAATTGATTCCTGACTAAGCCGTTCTCTATCTTCATTTAATATTGAAACTCCATCAGAAAGAATATCGATAGTTTGATTAGTGCCCTGCAATTGAATATTGATGCTATCGAATGAAGACATCGTAGTATTAGCAGGTATATCAACATCCATTGTAGGGTCTCTCTCATGTTGATCATTTATACATTTGGAAAGGATACGACGTATAAAAGAAATGATTGCGACTTGGTGTTGCTCAGTTTTGTAATGTTCCAACATTTGAACTCGAATAACCTGCAAAGCAAAAAACTTACGTGTGAGAAATGAGAAAATCATTGTCATTGAAATTTGTCTTTTTTGTCACTTACAGACGTTGAACATCCAAAATCTTTGAGAGCACACCAAACAGTGATTTTATCACAGTGATGTAATTTATGTACGTTAAGCTCATTCGCTGAATTAAACGACTTGTTGCAAAATTCACATGATGGATTCAAATGAGATTTTTGAAGATGGTCCTTAGAAATACAAAATTAGATTTATTATAATTATTTAATATATAATACAATCTAAAAACAAGGTATTACTCAAATATCTCAACGAATCTTTTCTGTTGTGTTTTTTCCATTTTATGTAAATTCGACTGTTTTTCGAATAAGTTTTGATAGGAACATAATAGACACCCTTTTCGAGATTTTGAAAAAGATTTTTCATTGGATTCTAACTTGGAATACGACCGATCGACAAGAAAAATTCTTCTATTTTATGCTACAAAAAAGTTCTAACTTTTCAGGATATTCATTACAAGAGTTCTTTGAATTTTTTTGAAATCGTCCAATTTTAGTAAATTGATCTTGGATGATTGCAAAAGAACTCAAGACATAGCTAATTCATTGTGTTGAGTCAAATGATGAGATAAGGATTATTGAGACATACACCTAACAGGTACTAGTCATAGCCCATTACAAGCTCTACATCATTAGCTGCTTGTCCTAAGATTCAAATTGCTTCCTTATTGCATTTCTTGAGGATTAACTCTAAGGATACTAAAGAGATGTGTTGCAAAATAGATACCATACAACAATCTTGTGTGACTAGCAAAAGTAACTATATTGTATTTTCACATTTTAATCTCGTTGGGATTATGCTAACAACTTTTAATGCTGTCGAGAAGAAATTTTCAAAATTCTGTAGTAATAGTTTCAGATTGCTTTCGGATTGGAAGTAAATAAAAGCATGATGAACTACTTGTCTTGAACTCTTTTAGAATATTTCAAGGTTAATATGCTTAGGTTGCAAATCTTCGAATAACTCTTATAAGTCTTGCATTGAATATACTAGAACTTTTGGTCTTGCGTAGATTGAATAAACAGAAATTTTCCTATCCATTGATTATATGAATAATCAAAAGTCAGCGAAGAAATGGTCTAAGAATATCTTTTTCAAAATAGCCGTTAATAATTCACTTGACCGGGCCGGTTTCCCATCAATCAAATGTCGATAGTCCTGTACTGTGTTTCTTGAATGATGGAAGCCGACAGACCTATATGATGTTAGAATCAAAAGTTATTCTAAAAACAGTTGAGTACATTCTATGGGATAATCGATCTATGATTTTATATACATAAAATTTAGTTGAATAAAGTCTTCATCAAATCAAGATGCAACGAGTCAAAGTTCTGCACACTAAGCTTCTCATAGATTCTGCTCAATTGAATATTTATGATCGATTTCTTTATGAAAACTATTAAATTTTTGTTGTTTATAAAATATTCTTAAATAAAAATCAGCATAAAATTTCGAATATGAACACAATACTTTTTGTTTTCTTTGAAACACAAGTGAAACAGGTTTCTATTGATATTTTTCTAGTAGTTGTCGAGTTCAGTTCAGGCATAATCTATTCTTCAAGAAATTCCAACGTAAATTGAATCTGCTTCTCACAAAAATATTTTAGTGGGATTCTTTTACTGATTATGTGATATTCAATTCGTTGAAATAAACCACTTATTGTATTATGCTTCACAAATATAGATACAAGCAAACTTTGCTACCTCATAGTTTTTCAATATACCATCCCAACTACATAGTGAGCATTCAATAACCAATGTTTGCATGTCATTTTTAAAGCCTCGATCAAGTAACACCTAAAAAGTAAGAAATATTGATAGATTAGAAAAAAATTTTTATGTCTCAACCTCTTCCTTTGGTGTTTCTTCTTGACATTCAGGACACACGACTTTTTCTCTTGAAAATATAATGGTCAATTTAAAATCAAAAACAATCTAAACTGATATTTTTACCCTTCTATTGTCTCAACACATTTTTTACACTGACGGTGTCCACATATCAGTTGGACAGGGTTTCGTAAAATAAGACTGCATATTTGACAGCGAAACGCTAGTTCGACGATAGCTTTGTTTCTTGAGTCGAAGCCCACCACTCGCATAAAATTCTATAATAGAAATCTAGAGAAATAAAAAACATAAAAGTAAACGAACTTGAGAATATTGGACAGTCGATGTTGAGCTACTTTCGGGTTTTGTAGACATGCTTGTGGCTGTACCATCTAATGATCATTAAAAGAAATGAAAAGTCAAAATTGTATCTCGATCTTCGAATTAATCGTATTTCGATTTCTTCGATTGTGAATGAAACTCATTAGTACAATTAGAACTTTCCATCTCACTTACATAGATAATAGATGAGACAAAAAAAAATAAGGTATGGATGTGGATAGAGGCGTGGGTAGTGACTAAAAGGAGAATAAACATTCACGCCCACACCCACACCCATACTTTGACTAATACATTCGTATTTATTTATCTCGACATGAAGACTTAGCCCGCTTTGAGCTGGCTGGTGCTTTAAAGATTTTTTTTCGAATACCCGTAATATGGTCCATTTCAAAATATAATGTGCTCTACTGTTTTTTTGAATAAATTTTGATAGAAATATGACAATCGATCAATCTGGTGAGTTCTTCGTGAATATTTTCGAAAACGGTATCATAAAGCTATTTCCTCTTATATTTAAACATTTGATAGAACTAATCAATAGAAAAAATTCTTCTCTTCCGATACCCACTAGGCCAACATTTCTAACTTATTCCATTGGAGAGTTATAAGGCTTTTCTCGGGACCTCGGAGTTTCGAAATGATCTGATTCTGCTATTTCAATATTTCTGAAATTTCACGATCAGCCTACATGTGATGAAGGAGTCCATATTTTGAAAATTTTGAGATAACTCGTCAGATCAATTCAAACTCAAAAACAAATATCACCACTCGAATAAGGATTGTGAATCAGTCCCTAATTAGCTACTTTTCCGAGTAATCACAGGTCGATTATCTGAAACCGAGATTCTTAGAGAAAATCTTAAAACTTTCGAAGACAACAAGTATTAAGCCCCTCCCCCCTCAGAACCGAACTTTGTTATTTTCTCATCCGATTTCAACCAAAATTTCAGAGAATGTTGGTCTTGACTAGAATAGCTTATGGTTAAAATATCTCCCCCAAATCTCAAAGATATGCACAAGTTCCAGTTAATTCATTTCCCTTTACGCGGGGAAGGTTTTCACAATGGGATTACTAGCTAATCATGTCGGAGTGGTTTTTAAATTGTAGAGTGACCTTAGGGCTAGATCCTCACAGGCTCCGGTTTTTTAATTCCCTTTGTTTGATTTTTAAAAATATTTTTTCGGAAAATGTTCAAATTCAAAGTGCTAATAAATATGAAATATCTGAGTTTTTTATTTCAGCAAAAGAGAAATTCAAAAATCGGAGCCTGTGAGAATCTAGCCCTAACTGTCCTCTATTCAACAAAAAAAAGACTATCCCTTCTCTATTAAGTCATTATTAAGAAATCCTTCCCTGCCTAAACGGTAAACTCGAAAAAATTGATTTTGAGAAAAACGAAAAACAAAGTTTCTTGACGTAGTAGTACATGTCTCTATTCGAAATAAGTCTGCTTATCTACCTAATATTTTCGCACTATTCCTCAAGCTTTATTGATGGCGTGTACGTGGATATATCATAATACGGTTAGAGATACATAGCCTGCCTAAATTGTGCTCATGGTTCCTTATACATATATGTCACTTCATGTCACACATGTTTTTATCAACTTTTTCGTTAATGAGATTTTCATTCTTTTGTTTGACCGAGACAGCTGAAATTTTTATGACATATATAACTAATCAAGATCTTATAGTTCTGAAATTTTCAGCTCTATAACTATGACTAATGATAAAATACATAAGTTTTCATACTCGATTTTTGCTGAAAAATGAGGCAAGAATCGAGTACGAAAACTTATGTATTTCACTTTGATCGATGTATTTTATCATTAGTGATAGCTATAGAGCTGAAACTTTCATAACTAAAAGATCTTGATTAGTTATATATGCCATAAAAATCTCAGCTCTCTCAATCAAACAAAAGTATGAAAAATATCATGAACACTGTATCCTCAGTTATTATGAAACACCCTATATGCCTCGGTAGCACATCCTCGGAAAAAAAATCGCCAGAAAAAAGGACCAATGTACACTTTTTTGGCAAAACAAATTATCCTAGATTGTAGTTCATTACAAGGGCTATCAGAATATGTATAAATCTCAAAATCGAGTTTTTTTCGAAAAATTGACTTTTCTGAGGGGAGGAAGGCCTTAATGGCGGTCTTAATTAGATGAAAACAAAAGAATTTTTCTATATAGTACTTTCATCAAAAGTGTAAATCGAAAGTGAAGTACCTTGAGAATATCGTTTTCGAAAATCTCCATCGAAAATTTACTCAAATCACAGTGGAGCAGATTCTATCTTTAAATGGATGTTAATTTTTTCCCTACTATTATTTTTCGTCTTTTTTGGTCTAAAGCAATAAAACTTGATTATGGGAACATTTTTTTACTTTTTATCTCCTGTCTAAACACACAGATACAGAGGAAAACAGACTGAAAAGTAATAGCAGCAACTTTAAATGTCTATTGTAGGTGTTTTGTAATGGTTTTTTGAAAGCACGTAAAATATGTCCAGATTATTATGGTCATGGTTTATCATAGCCAGAAACATTGGAAACTAAATAAAAACTAGGCATTTTTAGAGAGATTCGTTACTAGATAGGGTAAACAAAGGTCAAGATCAGATTTGAATTCTATTCAGTTACTATCTGA